TGACTTCTCTGGCTGGACCTTTGCATGCTGTGGGATGGACAAAACCATGGCTGCCCCTGAGAAAGGGCTCATATCCAAGGAGTGAAGGTGTTCTTCCGATTATGTCTAGGGATGTGAACTAAGCTAAGGGTCCTTGGAGCACAGCCCTTACCAAGTCACACAGCTCTGGTGTGTCCTGACTTTCAGGCAGAGAAAGGAGAGACACCCCACAAGGTGAAAGGCAACCTTCAATACCACACACTTGCCACAGAAGCGTAGGTACAATCCCTCTATACTTTCCACGCGAGACAAACCCAGGGTCAGTTTGTTTCAGAGCACAGAGGGTTCAAGAGCATTAACTACCAGAATTAAACAAAACAACAACAAAAAACACAAAAACAAAGGAGATTCAGACACATGCTCCAACATGCGTCAACCTTAAAGACTTTATTCTAAGTGACATATGCCAGACACAGGACAAATACCGTATGACTTCAGGTGTATGAGGGACGTAGAGTCGTCCACATCAGAGAGAGAGAAAGTAAAAGGGGGTTGCGGGGGGCTGGGGAGTCAGCGCTAAGCGAGGACAGTTTCAGAGCTCTGCTGAGGGGACAGGGGTGCTAGCGGCACAACCGTGTGCATGTACTTGACGCCACAGAACCGCACTCTTAAAAATGACTAAAACAGGAAATACAGTTATATATAGTTTATAACTTCAAAATGAAAAAACTTGGACCATCATTTTGCCTGGCAAAAGGAAGAGGAGCGAAAAAGAAGAGAAGAGGAAAGCAGGAGCATGGCGCCAATGGAGCACCAGAGCCGCCCGGCCCAGCGTGCTCTGCCTGAAAGTCAGACGCCCCCTTCCAGGCTGGTCCCGGTGCTTCCTTAGAAAGCCTTCTAGTGGCCTTTGGGATCTGACGGAACCAGGACCTTAGCTCTACACCAGTCCCCAACAGCTTAAGGAGAAGTGGCAGAATCTTGCAGAGAAAGAAACAAAAGCAGAGGAGAGAGGGAGACATCTGGGTTTCTAGATTCTTCCTTCCGTCCACTCCTGAAAAATCAGAGGCGCAGCCAAACTGCTCAGGCTCCCACTTGTCTGTGAGGCTGCCCTGAGCCCACCTCACCTCAGCTTGCGTTTAGGAAATTTCTTTCCCTTTTTTGGGAAATGTGCCTCTCCTCCACACCCACCAGTTACACGGTACGGGGGTGTATCGAGAAAGAAATTTCCCAAAAAAGGAAAAGTGATCTGCAAGGTTATCCCCATCTCAGAGCTGCCCGGGAGAGGACGGCAGCAGGCTGCCCCTAGAGCGGGACAAGGCCTAAAGGCTCCAGAACCAGCAGAGGTCTCAGAATGCAAAGGCCTCTGGAAGCAGCTCCCGAGGCAGGCACGGCCCCAGGGACTGCAGCCTTCCTCTGCCTCCTGGGACCTCCTGACAACCACCATGCCCTTGTCGGTTCCAGCCAGGGAGGGGGGGGGGGGCAGGGTTGGGGGGGACGGGATGACCTTCCCCACACTGTTCTCTGGAGACCTCTGGGGCCCATTCTCCTCTCCAATGAGAGCTGTGACACACAACACAGCTCGTGCCTCTCCCGGAAGCTGGTTACTTAAATTCAACAAATATTTACTAGGCCTGTGCCACTCCAGGGAGGCCCAGGCCAGACGATGGAGACAGAGACCAAGAATTATCAGGGGCCTAGCAATGGAAAAAAAGTCACAATCTAGTTGATAAGATAACATTTAACCAATGAAAACAAACAGCAATATTGTATTAAAGTCAAGTAACAATTTGAAATAGATTGTCACTCCTGTTAAGGGGACAGCCCAACCCTAAAATGCTACAATGTATTACAGGCAACAGATGAGCTCTGGGGGGTGGGGGAGGGGCAGGGCCCGGGCTCAGCAGGAGCAGAAGGACCAGCAGTGGCTACAGGCTTCCCGGGGCCAGAGCTGCGGCTCCTCGAGACCAACCAACACCAAGATGTGGCCATTATACATCATGGTGGCCTGAGCACAGCATGGAAAGTGGTATGTCTATGCTCCCTGGGTAACAGCTACACACATAAGCAATCCTGCTAACCCTGTGGGCACCCAAGCGCAGGGCCTGCCAACAGAAACCACTCCACACCAGGAACAGGCCTACCCCATTCCACTCCGGCACTTACCATGCCAGCCAGCTAGCCAACCCTGCCCCTTCACTTCCCTCACTCCCAGGAAATCAGACAGGTGAGTCCTTCCATGCCTCAAGAACACAGCTGAAAAGAAAGCAAGTCAAACTTATATTTTAAATTAAAAAAAAATTTTTTTAAACAAGCTACTGAGTAGATCATGTGGGAGGGTTGCTCCGCCTTAGCACTGCTGACATTCAGGGCCAGATCATTCCCTGTTGTGAGGCCTCTACCCTTAGGTATCCATCCAGAGCACCCTGCATGGTTGCAAGAGTCTAAGACTCCAGACATTGCCAGGTGGTCCTGGGAAGCAAGCACAGTGATCCCCAGCTGGGGACCATGGTCCCCTAAGAGAAAACTCTCAGCACAGCTGCGTTCAGTTCACACAAGAGCCTGCCTGCAGAGCTCTTCCGCACCAGGCCTGGGGACCCTGCAGGCTGGACAGAGGCAGGCGTCTAGGCATCAGGAAAGCTGGCCTCTGGGTTGGAGCTCCAGAATTCTGGACTGTGCTCACCAGGGAGTGGCCAGGAAAAGCAAGGCCTGATACAGACCACTGGGGTGGGAGAGGACCCTCCAGCCCTTGCCAGAAAGAGCTCACCTGCAAGAACCACAGCAATGGCCACCAACGCTGACCATGGGCAGTCGGCATCTGACTGCCTCCTTGCCCAGCCTCTTGTCAACGGCAGGCCAGACCCTTCCTTGCAACCTTCCCCATAGTGCTTTCCTAACACAACAGGGAAGACCCTCACACACCTGATGCTGCTTTAAAGGTATTTCAATGCAACTGCCAACGTCTTTTTTCACCCACAGAAATCACACCTCTCCACTCCCTGGAGGTGCAGTGTATCCACACTGCCCACACTAATATTTCAACACTAACTGGCACACCAGGTCCACCTCTTCAGCAACAAGGTCATCGGCCAGAAAGTGGCCCATGACCCAAAACTCAACTCTGGGCATCCCCCACAATGCCCTCTCTGTAGCCCAACCTTTTCCCGGGGCTTCTTTTCCCATGTGGCTGGCACGGTTCCCCCTCTGCCCCAGCGGCACACGAAATAATACCCAACCAACATTCAGGTTGCTGGGAGACCAAACTATACTGCAAGGTGTCAGTGCTCACGGCTCAACAGCGTCAATTATTTAGGAGCAGCTCTTGGGATGCAGCATGCACTCTCCACTTGTGTGGACACAAAGGCATCTGCAGTAGCCACCCTCTCTTTGTGCATGTGCAACTGAGCTGAAGGGAACAAAAGACTGTACTGGACTCCAGTAGACCTACGGAAAGATTTCCTGACCAGAATAATCAGTCTCCATGCCAAGTCCAGGAAACTCTTTTCTGGGAAGGTTCACGGTTAGCCCAGCCTGGATGTAAACCAGTGACCTCTGAGTCTCCTTCTCCACTACTGTCACCCTTTGGGGGACTTAAGGACAAGGCAGCCAGGCACAGGGAGGACAAAGTAAACTTCAAGGCTTGTGAGAGGCCCCACTACCACCTGGGCGACGACTTGTACGACGGCCAAGTTGGGAGAGTGCAGAGGGCAGTGACGGCGCTGCCTCCAGGCCTGCTTCCTTTTCCCGGAAGGAAATGGTGTTCAAGTGAATCGGTCCCCCTGCTCATCTTTCTAGTGAATTCTACCACAGCCAGCGGTGCTCACCTCCAATCTACTCTGGACCACAGCAAAAACCCTCTGGGGCCCATCACACTGTACAAATGTACTCAAGAGAAAGAATGATAAAGAAGGAACCCACGAAGTGACAGCTGACAGAGCAGCTGCTATCATACCTGTTAATTCCACTACCTACACATCATACCCACTAATTCAGCTGAGAAACAAAAAACAGAAGGCATCACATCAGAAAGATGAGGACCTCCATGTGGAAATGGACTCACTTGTGGCCTTTTCACACAGTTCTGATGACCACCCTAAAATCCAAATGTCCCAACAGCTACAAGGTCCCTGGAAAGGACAGTTATCTCTGCTCACACTTCCAGGACCCTGCCCTCACTCCTGCAGCAAAAAGAAAATGAACTCTGGGTGGGATGGGGTCAACCTACTTCATGACCAGATTTTCCAGGACAGTCCCGATTAAAAATGCTGCCCACATAAATGCACACAAATTCAAGTGGAACAGGAAAAGGTACTTAAATCTTCTACCTTCAACCCTTTATAAAACTTGGAACTCAGTCATACTTTAGGTTAGGAGAGACCAATCTCCTGTAGAAAAAAACTCAGGCGAAGTGGATGGAAAAAAGAAAAGCCACAACATTCCACCTGGTTGATTTTCAGTTTTGCCTCCGGACCAAGAGCAGTAAACACTCCTCCAGCCTAGGAAGCAGGGAGCAAACAGAGAGCACACCTGGTGCATGGTGGGGCAGAAAGGAGCCCCGTGCCCCGTGTCAGTGACCAGGAGAAAACTGATCCCATGGCCCGGAGGCCTCTGAAGGTCCAAGAGGAAGAGACCAGTTGCGGCGATGGAACCGAGAAGCAGTCCTGGACGATGGCAGGGGATGCACGTGTGCTCAACTCTCACACGCACACCCAGGGTCAGCCCCCTACCCGTCCCTGCAGGCCCACAGCCTCTTTTGCTTCTCGTTAACTGGCCAAGTGTGACTGCTGTCATCCTGGAACAGAAGGACTTCCTCCCTCACTGCCTACTCTCACCTGCGACAACTGGCGATGCCGCCCAGCAAAGGTCTGCGTTGCTCAGGGCTGTCCTTTACACATACTCCAAGTTCTTCGAACTCCAGGCTCCCAAAGGAAGCCCAAGCGAGAGCTCACACTGCACAAACGCAGCCACTGTGAAGGGGCCTAAGGGAGACGGGAGTCACGGCATGGGCGCGGAAGGACACTCACCATCTCGTCCAGGGCGTAGCGCAAGAGGCCGTGCTCGTAGAGGATGAAGAAGCGCCGCTGCCATTTCTGCAATGGAGCACAGAGCAGGCAGTTAGAAGCTGTGGCCCGGCCACACTCGCAGGGCCCCCGGGGTCCCACAGCCCACATCAAAGGGGTACTGGCTCTGCACCTTCCATCTCTGGGGCACACAGCAGGAGAAGAGGGGCCCAAGGCAAAATAACGGTAATTTATTAGACAGCCAGGGGAGAGACCCAAATAGCCCCGTGTTTTTCACATGCACTACTGAGACTTAATTTGCAAGCCCCTCAGGAGCAGAGATGGTGTCTTGGTCACCTTTTTGTATTCCCTATGTACCCAGCACAGAACTTTCCACATAACATGGTGTCAGGATTTGTTTGATGAATTGTATGGCACAGTGTGGAATAACCTAAGAATGCCAGGCTTCGATCCCCCACTTCTAAAAAAATCCCAGGAAACTGCTATACAAGGGTTGTTCCAATGATCCAGAGTGAAAAGACAGGCTCCAGCATTCACTAAGGATGAGTGAGCAAAACAAAAATCAAAACTGAGGAGAAGGGAGACCTGTAGGAATGGCTCTGATGTCCCAGGAGTATTCAGCCAGCAAAGGGTGCCTCTCTCTATGCTCCACCCAAAGGGCAGGCTGCAGGGCCGGCAGACCCACAAGCACTAACAGCAGAACAGAGAGGACCACGAGAGTCACTGCTTTCCTTTCTGCTGGGGGAAGACATGTCCAGCACAGGAGACTCTTGATCCCCGAGTCCCAGGGATCATCAATGAGGACCCGTGACCTATTTTGAACATTTCAAAAAGCCCAACAAAATTCATACTTTCACTGGCAATAAGGCCACAAGAACTAAGTTATCATGCCTCTCTGCTTTGGGCCGGAATTATATCCTTCCTAATAATGTTTTTCCCATAAGAAGCTAGAAATGGCAGTTCTGTATGACCCAAATATAAAACAGGAAAGGGAGCTGCTCCCTGGTTACTGCAGGCATCGGAACAGTCACCCCTGTCGTCCTTCTGCCCAAATGGAACAGGATGCCCAAACTGCCTTGTAAAGAGGACCTATAGATGGCTGGTCCCACGCTGGGTGTCCAGGGAGAGGCCACTTGAAATCTTCCCGAGAAATCTTTTCAAGGCTCCTATTTACCATCTTTGAAGTCAAAACTCATACCAGAAGTCATCCTAAAGATCCCAGACATAATGCAAGGTCTGTGGGGCACCAGGCCCTGACCCCAGCAGGTAGCATTCAGGCCAAGGGGCAGCAGAGATCAAGAGGCAGAGCCCAGGCTCCCTCAGGGAGCAGGGGATGGGAAGGGAGAGGAGCTGGAACAATTTAGAGGGTATGGGCCGCAGCACCTGGAAAAGAACACGTGGAAAAGGACAGATGGTGTTTTAACTAGAGGCATCCAAAGAGGCTCCCCGGCAGAGGAACAAAGTTCTGTTTGGGACAATGTTGGTTTAATCATCTCCATTCTCCCGCGGACCTGGGCTGCTCCTGTGCTGGGGTGCCCTGGAGACATGGGGCAAAGCAAAGCTGGCCCTCTAGTCCCTCATCCCTTTTCTAGTGCTCATTTGCTGATCCCTAACCTGGGAGGAGAAGTAAGGAAGGAGGGGAAGGGCTAACGGGAAGCCTAATCAGCATAATGCAAATGTTTGCTGAATTGCTGTTCTGCTTTTTACATTTAACTGTTTCGGGAGTCAAGTTGACTCAAAAAACGAGGAGGCACCAGGTGAGAGCATCTCCTTTTCAAGGGTGGACGTGGCATAACTAGTATCATGGAGACTTTTCCTGTTGGGCCTATAAGTCTGCCAAACACGGTTCCCTGCTGACCCTGCCAGCCCACAATCCACTGTTTTAACTCCCCATCTCCCTCCCCGCACCATCAATTTGCCCTTAGTAGGGCCCCTCTGGAGCTCCCCCCACCTCGAGAATTCATTCTGACCACCTTACCCGGGACCGATGTACTGGGTTGTCAAAGTCGGTCCCATCTGGAGCCAGGAGCAGCCAGCCACCGTAAATAGGTTTCGCCTGGAGGAGAAACAAGACAGCAAGTCATCAATGCCTTGGACCAGAGAGCTTCAGCAGTCAAGATGAAGATAAGCACTTACTGAAAACAGAAGTCACCCCTGCTTAGCACACACCAGGCATCTCATTCCCCAGGCCAAGTCTCCAAGAAAGATGTTTGCGAGCAAGAGGCTCCTGAGAGGAACACAAAACCCAGCAGAACTCTGAAAACCTGCAGAGTACACTAACCCCTGAAAAACAGATGCCTCCCTCAAGTTCCTAACAAGCCACTAAGGTCAGGAAACAATGGCATTTTCTTTTGTTTGTTTTTAGCTTTTATTTATTTTTGAGACAGAGAGAGACAGCACAAGTGGGGGAGGGACAGAAAGAGAGGGAAACACAGAATCTGAATCAGGCTCCAGGCTCTGAGCTGTCAGCACAGAACCCGATACGGGGCTTGAACCCATGAACCGTGAGATCATGACCTGAGCCAAAGTCGGATGCTCAACCGACTGAGCCACCAGGCGTCCCAACAATGGCATTTTTAATCACCATGTGTGCTGGGTACTAGGCATATTATGCAAACAACAAAGCCAAAAGGCCTCCTTCTAATGATACGAAACAGGGCCTGGGAGAAGAGACATTGCTTTAGTGACCCCAGGTAGCACTGGCCAAAGATTCACCAACTTCCTGGCTATGTGACATTGGCCTGAAAACTGCTGGGTTTCAATTCCCCCACTCAAAAGGTGATGGTGATGATAACTGCTTCAACACCTCAGGAGACTTATGTGAGGATTGATGAGGTAATGTAAGTAACACAGCACAGGAATATACAATGGTGCAGCCACTGTGTGTGGAAAAGTCTGGCAGTTCCTCAAAGAGTTAAATACAGAATTCCACATGATCCAGAACTCCACTCCTAGCTATATTCACCCAAGGAAACTAGAAGCAAGTGCTAAAATAAAACTTGGACATGAATGTTCATAGCAGCACTACTCATAATTGCCAAAAGGTAGAAACAACCCCAATGCCCACCAACACGTGACTAGATAAACAAAATGTGACCTATCCATACAACAAACTATTAGTAATAAAAGGCCATGAAGTATTGGCACATTCTACAGCAGGGATGAACCCTGAAAATATTATGCTAAGTGAGAGAACACAGACACAAAAGAACACATTGTTTTTTTAAAATATTTTTATTTATTTCTAGGAGAGAGACAGCGTGAGCAGGGGAGGGTCAGAGAGAGAGGGAGACACAGACTCTGAAATAGGCTCCAGGCTCCGAGCTGGCAGTCAGCACAGAGCCCAACGTGGGGCTCAAACCCATGAACCGCGAGATCATGACCTAAGTGAAAGTCGGACGCTTAACCGACTAAGCCACCCAGGCGCCCCAAAAGACCACATTTTGTAGGATTCCATTTACATGAAATATCGAGAATACATAAATCCACAGAAACAGAAGGCAGATTAATGGTTGCCAGAACATGGGGGGAGCAGGAAATGGGAAGCGACTGCTAACAGGTATGGGGTTTCTTTTCTTTTCTTTTTTTTAATGTTTATTTTCTTTGAGAGAGAGAGTGTGAGAGTGTGTGTGTGTGTGTGTCTGTGTGTATACGTACTCGGGTGTGCAAGCAGGAGACAGGCAGAGAGAGAGGGAGACAGAGGATCTGAAGCCGGCTCTGCACTGACACTGGACAGCCTGATGCGGGGCTCGGACTCACGAACCGTGAGATCATGACCTGAGCCAACGTTGGATGCTTAACCAACTGAGCCACCCAGGCGCCCCATTCTGACTCATATGAGGTTTCTTTTTGAGGGTGATGAAAATGTTCTGGAATTAGAAAGTGGAGATGGATGAACAACCTTGTGAATACACTAAAAACTACTGAATTGTGCACTTTAAAACGGTGAATTTCATGTTATGTACATTGTATCTCCAAAGAAACTATGAGAAAAAGCCCACTAGGCACAATGTTTGGCCTATAAATGCATAATAAACATCAGCTCTTCATTTTTTTGTGAAGATTTCCCCCACCCTGAAGACCTTGACACGTAGGAGCTCAACATGAGATAAAAGACCTAGACAGACACAGGGGCTCCACCTCCCTTTTCAGCCATACCCAGCTGGCGAGAAGCAGTTGGAAAAGGCACAACCAAGCCAATATGTCCACTACCCTTTGGGGGGGCAGTAACACAAATTAAATCCCAAACCACTACACCCATGACTAATCTCTGGGAAAGCCTTAGGGGTCCTCTTAATATGCTTTTTATTCAACACTTTCCAAACTGGAGGCCCTGTCACACCAACTCATTTTATAGCTGTGGAATCTGTGACTCAGAGAGGGAAGGTCAATTGCCGCAGGTCACACAGCATTTCAGGGTAAGCCAAGAACCTTCCCCTTTCTTGGCTTCTGCAGGGTCCAAAAGGCCCCCAGGGGAAGCTCTGGCTTTTCCCCATGAAAGTGAACAAAGTAGGAAAGAGGGGCTTCGGGCAAGGGGTATGGAGTGGGCAGAAGAAAGGAAGTGAGGGGCTGGCTTTGATGAAACACAGGAGGTGGGTGCTGGCAGAGGACCAGGGGTTAGAAGGACATAATCCAGGAGGGCCCTGGGGGAGGTAGAATGAAATTCTGCCTCGGAAAGCACAAGCGAAGAGAGTAAGGTCTGTTTTCTTAGCAAACTCCAGCAGCGCCCAGCCATTCCCTAGGCCGGCAAGCACACTCGGCCCCTCTCGCACACCACTCAGGGCTATGCACACACCAGATGGAAGGGTCAGGGCCAGGGGGTGATCCCGGGCCAGGTGACTCCCCGACTTCGCCTCTTGGACTGCAGTTCTCTGACATGTGAAATCAGGAGGTTGGACAACAATCCCGTGTCTCCTACATTTCTATCTGGTTTTGGCTACATGCCACTCACCTACTCTCTGGCTGCAGGGCTTTGCAGTGAACTCCTATTATAGCCACATCTACCTGCACTTTCCCTGAAGGTAGCAGTGGGAGACCGGAGGGACCGGCACACCTCCCCTCAGATCCTGGCCCCACTCCCACCACAACAATCACCAGCACCATTATTCACTCAACACTTCCTCAAGCCTACTGTGCGCTGGCCCCGGGTGCTGTATGCCAGGGAGACTGGCAGCACCTGCCTCGCTGTGCCAGGTCCTTCTTGTACAGACCACCCCAAAGGGGGCCTTGCAGGTGGACAAGCTGTACAGAAAGTGGGAAGGCTGGGCCACTGGAGGGCACAGGGCAGGAAACAAGGACTTCACGGGAAGAGGAAGCCAGGAAGCAGGTAACGTGACATCAGGAGCATCTACCAAGGCAAATCCATAGGGACAGAAAGCAGATTGGTGGCTGCCTAGGGCTCGGGGGGCTGGAAGGACTAGGGAGTGACAGCTAAAGGGTAAAGGGTTTCTTTTTGGGATGATGAAAATGTTCTAAAACTGATTTTGGTGATGGATGCACATCTCTGGGAATATACTACAAATCATCAAACTGTACGCTTCAAATGGGTCAACTGTATGGTATGTGAATTTTATCTCAATAAAGTTGTTAAAAATAATTTCCCAAGGCCCATGTAGGGCAGTGGGGAAGCAGAGATAAATAAGAGGCTGCTCCTACCTTCATAGCTGTACAATCCTAAGTAAATGTGAACCAATGAGTCCTTCCCCCAAACCTTGGGAGGGGCCAAGGAGGGGGCATCACTATGTGAGTTTTCAAGTGACTCTTGCCCCCTACCCCTGGTCATATTTGGGGAAACTTCATTCAAAGACACAAGGACAAAGGTTTAAAAGGGCAATGACCCAGTCCATGGATTTATAGAAAAGCAGCCAGAACGTGCCAGACACAGAGCCTAGAGAAGGAGCCAGAGGCAACAGGCACAGGCTTGACAGGGTAGGGGGTATAACAAGGAGCTCCTAAAAGGGGTGACTTGGAACCTGGTGCTGCATACCATGAACCTCCAGATGTCTACTGTGCAATTCTAGGGTCACCAGGAGACAGGAAGGTACCTGCCACCCTACACTGCCATCCACATGAGCAAACAAGGAGGTGGGGTGGGAACAACTGTGAAGGAGGTGAGGAGCCCTCCACCTCTGCCCCCACAGGAGTGTGGCCTGGGGTGGAGAAGACTCTCTGGGCATAGGCATAGTTAAAGCAAAGGCACAGACGTGGGAACGAGTACGTTTGTGGGGATGGAGAGGAGGAGCCAATCTAACAGCACAAAGCAGCTTATGTGCTCTCTCCTTAAAACTCTCACCCCTTCTTACTGAGAACTTCCAGACTAACTGTTCCGCAAGCCCGAGAGCCACGCACGGGGACACTCCACTCTCTGATCTTCCATCCTGGGTGACCTGCGGTCCTGACTCGGCCACCCTGCCCTCATCACGCAGGCATGGGAAAGGCATCCCAGGAAGGGCCTCTGCTCCTCCCACTACGTCTCGGAGAGCAGACCCAGCCACGTCAGTAGGTCCTTAGTGGCACCAGAGCTGCTCCGGTGAGGCAGCATGCTCCCTCTCAGGCCTCATCTACTTTCCTGGGGCAGGGCCTCTGACGGGCTGGAAGGCAGTCTTTCTGAGAGCCCCTTAATAACCTAAGACACAGATTTTGAAACAGACAACCCAAAAGGAGCTGGCTCAGGGGAGTGAGCTCTAGGAACTCCTTGGTATCCTAGCTTTGATGCTGCTTCCTGGCTGGGGCACAGGGGCTGGGGAAGAGAGGGCAGACGGAAGAAGCAGGTATTTGTTGTTGATACTGAGGACCCAAGATGCGCTGCAAGGACACAAAGGAAGGGCCTGAGTTCTGTTTCAAACAGGCTACCCTGGAGGAAGGAAGCACACTGGTCCAAATCCCGCTGATAGTCACGACAGGAGTGTGTCTACTTGAGCTGTTTCTCTTCTGACAAAACTCAGCCTTCCCTCACAGATCCAGTAAAGCAGAGGCTGCACTTCTGGCTGGTGTCTAGGCAGAGGCTGTTGTTGGTGGTCTGGTGCACTCCTCAACCGAAAGCCCTTTCAAAAGCGG